TACAAGAAGGAGACTAGTGAAGGAGGCCACCAAGACTCCTCTGAAGGAGTTTACAGCTTCAGACTGTTCATACATCAACTGTTGTCTGTTCTTAACCATCAAAGCTTTATGGGAGACAAAGAGAAAGACTCTGTTGGAAAAAACTCAGATTAAATCTGGACCAGAGTTCACCAGAAGACATGTGGAGACTCTGAAGTCACCTGGAAGAAGGTTCTTTGGTCTGAGGAGACCAGAATGGAGCTTTTTGTCCATCAGACTAGATGTTATGTTTGATGGACACCAAACACACCATCTGCACTGTGAAGCACGGCGGTGGCAGCATCATGATGTGAAACAAGCAGAAAATGATGCAAAATAACTGCAGAGATGTTTATTTTCTTTTAGCAAAATGATGAAAACCAACTCCCCCCAAAAAACTGCAAATAGAAGCAAAAGAAAAGCAAAGAGACCAAATGTCTGCAGAGCTGCTCAACAAACCACAACAGGATGAAGATCAGCAGCAAAGTGGCGCCAGAGTCACAAAATGATCCAAAACGAATCCCAACAGAGACAAAGCTGCAAAAAACCTGCCAACAGTGCTCTCTAGCGCCACCACCAGGCCAACGTTCAGCCTCTCAGAGTAAATAATTCAGCTTTCTAACGAGCCTGAAGTGGAGCAGAGCCGCATGTGGACCTTTAATCTGGTCAACATCAGAACCTGTGATGTCTGTTTAGAGTCGGTGCAGCTGAAGTCCAAACACGTGCAGATGATCGTTATCTCCTCCATCACTCACGCCAGGTGTGTCGTCCAATCAGCTCTCTTCATCCATCAGACGAGGGAAAGACAAACACGGCACCAGAACCAGAACCGGCTCCGGTTTCAACCCACCAGAGAGCCTCTGCGCTGCCAAGAGCTCCGGGTTTGAACCCGGCGACTAATTATTCCTCGAGTCCGGTCTGAAGTGGATTTATGGCAGCAGGCTGGCGCTGCTCGTGGCGTCATAAATTAAACCGGCACAGAGCGTTAGAACCAGAACCGACGGAGGGACGGCGAAAAACTGCAAGCGTGGAGGTTTGAGAACCGACCGGCTTCGTCCCTGCTGTCCTGTTTGGTCGGTCGGGTCTTCTGTCTGCAAAACATCAGCTGAAGGACAAATACGTTTAGAGACAGAACAGTGAGGAGACGTTCTCACAGGAACGTCAGAGAAACGTTTCATCTGTGAGCTGATGACTTTGAAAATGTGTGAAGATGTTCTGACACGTTTAGCAGAGAAGACTTCAGCTGTGAAGGTGAATAAAAGGATCCAGAGAGCAGAGCGGCGCCTCTTCAGCTCGACCCGGAAGTCAGACAAAGTCACCCAAAGCAGACAAACACAATATAAATGTATTATTTAAAAAAAACTAAACGAGCTCATTCAATTTGCTGCCAGATGAAAACAAAAGGACGCAAAACAACTGAGAAGAGACACGAGATAGTCAGAAAAAGTTCCAGAACAACTGCAAAGAGACGCAAACTGAGCAAAAAGAAGAAAGACTGAACAAAACAAGAGACGTAAATAGACACCAAGCATCTGCAGAACGTGTTCAAATAGACGCGAAATAACGACAAAGAAACAGAAAAGAACCAAAAAAAGATGCAACAGAACCACAAAGCAACCAGAAAAATCACAAAACTGGAAAGAGCGCCGCAACAGGAGCACAACAACATGCAAAATAACTCCAAGAGGGTTAAATCTGGTCACAGACAAATGCAGAGTAGATGCAAAAAGATGCTAAACAGTCAGAAAGATTCACAAAACAGCTGCAAGAAGACGCAAGAGCCACAAAGAGATGCTGAACAAACACAAAGAGACATGAAACAGTCAGAAAAAAGCTGCGAAACACCTGCAAAAAGATGCAAAATAGCAAAAAAGTGCAGAATAGATGCAAAAAGATGCCGAACAGTAACAAAGCTGCACAAAACAGCTGCAAAGAGACACAAGAACGGAGACAGGAAGCAAAAGAACCGCAAAAAATGCAAACTGGCTGCAAAGAGACGCAACAAACAGAAACACAACAAGCACAAAAACATAAAACATCTCGAAAGAAATGCACAAAAATCACAAGACAACCGCAAAGAGCGCCGCAACAGGAGCACAAAGAAGTGCAAAAATAACTCAAAGACAATGAAACATGTCTGCAGAATAAAAGCAAAAAGGTGCAAAACAGTTTCAAAGACGCACAAAACAGCTGCAGTGACGCTAAACGACCACAAAGAGACAAACAACAGAAGCAAAACAACTTAAAAAAAAAATGCAAAATGGCTGCAAAAAGAGACAAAACAACCCCAAACAGAAAAAAAGATGCAAAACAGCTGCAAAGATTCATGAACGACAACAAAAAGCTGCTTCAGCGTCGAAGGCCTGAAGATGAACAGAACCAGAAACAAACATGTTCTAATGTTCCACTCAAACGTTTCTGTGTTTTATTGAAAACGTTGATCAAGAATATCAGAAACAAAATTCACGTTTTCATGAAAGAAGATGCAAAACGATTCAGAACAAACTCCAGACAGATGAAACTGCAAAAAGATGCAAAAGAACTTCAGATAAGATGCAAAACGACCCGAAAGAAAATGGAAATAGCTGCAAAAGAGTTGCTAAAAGAGGCAAAAAAAACAACCGCAAAGTGGCACCAAACAGTCCCAATACCACCCAAAACTCATCCCAAAAGAGACAAAACATGCAAAACAACTGCAGAACGTGCTCTCTAGCGCCACCAGCAGGTCAGAGTTCAGCCTCTCACAGTTTCATTGAGTAAATAATTCAGTTTTCTGCTCTGAGGTGGAGCAGAGCTGCATGTGGAGCTTTAAACTTCACCCCTGATGTGTCTCATCTCGAGTGGGTCTAATTCATCGAACTGACAGGAAACAAACTGACAGGAAACAAACTGACAGGAAACAGGTCCAGACTGACAAACCTGCAAATAAGATGCAAAAAAACTGCAAAAAAAAAAAAGTGATGCTGAAGCAAACAGATGAAAGAGAACAAACAACAAAAAGAATGAAGACAGGAAGCAAAACAACTAAAAAAAAACTAAATGAAAAATGGTTTTATGTGTGTGTGTGTGTGTGTGTGACATCACGCCGTCATTAAAACGCTCCTCCTGAGTTCCGTGTCCGGGTCTGAGCCGCGGCTCCGGTTCTGGAGCACCTGCAGGCTGCTGCTGCTGCGGAGCGAAATATTTTCACTGGACCGAGTTCAAACTGTGAAGGAAAGAAAAAAAAAAAACCACGGAGGCATCACGCCATTCTGGCCTCTGTTGGAAAAAAAAAAGAGAGAGAGAGAGAAAAAAAAAAGTGGGATTTAAAGAAGTTTCTTTCAAGACCTGCAGCAGAAAGTCCCGGACCGGCTCCAGTCCACGTCCCGCTGCTGCCGTCACCGCGGACACACACACGAGCTGCGGCACCATGAGCCGGACACACGACGGACGGGAGAACCGGGACCTGCAGGACTTGTTGCTTCAGCTTTCCACACATCTTTGCTGCTCTTCGGTCCGGCCAGGAGACGGGTTCTGCTGCCGCGACGCGCGCAGGAAGCTCAGAGGATGAGAGAGTCGGAGCGCAAAGTTCTGCGTCTTTTGTCGCGTTAATCCCGTTAATTAATTAGGATGAGCACGGAGGAAGAGTTTTAGGATGAAAGTTGCGAAGCGCGTTTTTCTTCTGCTCAGCTGCTGGACTCTGTTCTACCTGCATCCCGTCCTCGGTTCCCTCAGCCGGAGCAGACCCGCGGACAGCCACCGGCTCGGAGAGGCGGCGGACGGAGAGCAGCCCCGGGGGAGGACCGGCGGAGCAGCCGGGGGGACGTGGAAACCGGCGCCGGTGCGGATCACGAGAATCCGCGCGGGTCCGCCGCTGATTAAAGGCGAAACGGCCGCGAGCAAAAGCAAAGTCCCCGCAGGGAGCCGAGCCCAGCAGCACCGGGACAGGGCGCTGGGTTTGGGGCGCAAAGAGGCTGCGCGCTCCTGGCCGCCCGCCGGGGATGCGCACGTTAAAGCTCCCGCGGCTTTGAGCGCACATGCAGCCGGGAGAGGAGCCGGAGCCGCGGCTGCCGGAGGCGGAGGCTCGCCGGGGAAAAGTTTGGGGAAAGTTGCTACCAGAGCTGCTCCAGCGCGCCCCGGAGCTGCGCAAAGAGCCGCCGGAGCGCAAAAGCAGCAGAGCGCCGCTCCGGTGGCGCAGCGAGGAAACGGCGGCGGCGGCGGCAAGGCGCCGAGGCTGAGCGAGCGGGAGGCGCAGCAGAAGCAGCCGCTGGTGATTCCTCACGACTACATGCTGTCTCTGTACTGGTCTCTGAGCAGCGGAGAGCTGAACGGCAGCGCGCTGCACGAGGCGGGTCTGGCCAACACCGTCACCAGCTTCGTGGATAAAGGACAAGGTAGAGGCCAGAGGCATGACCAGAGCTTTGCTTCCAGCAGGTTTCCTCGTGATGCCCGAACTCTGCTCGGTTCTGTTCTGTCTCTAGGTTCACGTTTAGCTCCGACATGAGGAGGAAATGAGGAAAAACTTCACTTCAACGTAAACACGAGAACAGAATGTTAATATTCTGCAAAAAATTAAACAAACTCAGAATTTGTCTCTAAATTCGGCTGAATTTGACTCTTTGTGGTGATTTTTAGACATAAACTTTTACTCTGTCAGCTGTGAAGCACAACTCTGAGCCGTTCATCAGAACCGAGGAGGGGAGCGCAGAGGCGAGCCTGTAGGGGGAGAAGGTGTCCGGTTCCGGGACCGTGCAGGCCGGTGTGGACGGTACCGGAGGGGGGCGGGACCGGGAGCAGGGCTGGACATGTTGAGCAGAGTCTGAACATCTGGAGGAGGTCAGGAGGTCAGCTGCTGTTCCACGGAACGGAGGGAATGATGGGAAAAAGCCTGAGAGCTGCAGAGGGAGGCATCAGGGGGTTAGAGGAGGCACGAGGAGGAGCAGAAGTAAACAACAACAACAACAACAAAAAACAACCTGATCACCCTGACAGCAAGAGGGCAGAAACATTAAGTTAAAAACGACAGAAAAGTCACATTTTTAAAAGAAAAACTGCAAAAATAAGTTTAAAATATCAGTTAGAACGTTCCTCAAAACCTCATTTCAATGATTTTACTACAATAACGACACTAATTATATTATTTTGCTGATTTAAAAGCAGCAAAACTGTAATTTTAGTCAAACACTGCAAAAAAAACCCACATTACGATTTATAAAAACACATTTTTTTATGGTTTACATGTAAATTACTACATTTAACTAAATATTATCCAACAAAACAGGAAAAAATCCACAAAATAAAAGTTGAAGCAGGTGATTCACTGTTTTCCAGTTCCTAATTACACAATTTTATTTCAAATAAAGGCAGATGTCAGTGATCAGGGCGACAAGATGAAAACGACTGCAGAGCAACATGAAGCAGGCACAAAAGTGACGCAAAACAACCGCAAAAAACACAAATAGCAATTTCAAAAAGAGACAAAAAGATGCAAAACAACGACAAATTACCTGCAAAGCGACGTCAAACCACAACAACATGCAAACAACTGCAGAAAAGTTGCACATGTTCTGTTATAAAAGGCAAAACAACCGCAGAGTTTTGCTAAACAACCACGACACGATGCAAAAGAAACGCAAAAAGATCCGAAATACATTTTAAAAAGTTGGAATTTCTGAGAAAGTTCTGCGACATTTCTCGCTGGAAGTTTTCCTCTCTGTGAGTTTAATCTCAGACGTTGTTTTGACTGTTTACGCTGCGAGAACTCTTCTGTCTGTGACGTCGTTTTAATGAGTCGGAACCAGAAAGACGGTGAGAAAGAGCTCATCAAGAGAAGCTTGGTCCAACTTTACCAGAACTTCCACCTCCGGCTGCTTCAAGGTGTCAGTCAGAAAAACCGGAACCAGAAACGAATCCTTCACACTGAACACAGAACAGAACACACATGTTTAGATCCATCAAGAGCCCGATAGGTAGATGTTAAAGAACCTCTAAAGTCGCCCCAAAGAGCCTTTAAAAAAATGGTTCCGTTATGAATAAAGAGATTCTTCCACTGGTGACGGATGTTTGAAGAACCGGAGAGTTTTTCTGAGGAACCGTTTAGGAACCGAGAAGCTGTTTGGACGCCAAACCGCCTCTGACTTGCCGTAGATTCTGCAGAGTTCTGGTTAAGCTTTAGCTCCCGGTGTGAAGATGTTGGTTCTGCTCTTTGTTTCTGGTCCGAGTTTAAAGGTTCTGCTGCTTCGTGTTCTTTTAATTTGGATTTTATTGAATTTGTTTGTTTAGCGAGTCGCTGCTGAACTCAGTCGTTGTTTTTTCTTCTGCGCATTTCCTCGTTTCAGACATCAGAATCCGACCAGAACTCTGGAACCGGCAGCATTTCACCACAACAGCTGACGTTTGTTCTCAGTCCGACTGGAAGGAAATCAGCTGTTGTTGTTGTTGTTGTTGTTGACTGATCTCGACCCAGAATGCACCTGGAGTCTAGAACGTGACCTGAGAGCGTCTTTAACGGTTTCAGATTCACCTCAGAGTCGATCGGACTGTGTGGTTCTGTTTGTGGTTCTGTTTGTGGTTCTGTTTGTGAGGTGGATGTGTTTCAACAGGCCTGTTTACAGTCCGACGCTCTCGGTCTGGTTCTGATGTACTTCTTGATGCATGTTGCGGAGGAGGGAGGGGCTGCCGTGAGAGGAAGTGTGTGTGTGTGTGTGTGTGTGTGTGTGTGTGTGTGTGTGTGTGTGTGTGTTTCATTGCTGGATTTGATTTGGACGTTGAAGCTCGCTGGTTTCTCTCACCGACAGCAGCTTGAGCCGGCTCAGTTCTCCGGATGTTGTTGTGCTCGTAAATATGTGTGTTTGCTTGTTTTGACTTATCTTGTGGGGACCGTAAACTCTGACATCCCTGTGCAGCTACAAGGATAATTCAGAAAGACGTTAAAATGACAACACGGAGACACAAAATGACTCCGAAGGGACTCAAAGCAACTAATAGGGGACATAAAATGGCTAAAAAAGACACTAGATGTGACTACAGAGTCACGTATAATGACTAGAAGGAGACTCAAAACAAGTAGAAGACATAAAAATGCATAAAAGTTATTTCAAAGAGAGAAGGAGAAACAACTCCACGGACACAGAATAACTGAAAACAGATCTAAAAGATTAAGAACAGACTCAAAACAACTAAAAGAGACTCAGAAAAGGAAGTAAAATGACTGATAGGGTGTTAAAATCAGAATAAATAAACACAAAATGATGAAAAAGAACCCAAAACAACTGCAAAGACACTGAAAACAACTAAAAGGTGACGTGACATGAATAAAAAAAACACTACAATAGAGACAAAGAAAAACTACAGAGACATACAGTATTAAAATGACACTGAAAACAACTAAAAAATTACAATAAAGAGGCACACAACGACAAAAAACAGCTACAAAACTACTAAAAATAGACCTTAAACCACTAAAAGCGACACAAAACACTACAAAAACGGCTCAAATCAGCTCCGGAAAGCTCAAAATGCCCAACAAAAATAAGATAGAACAATAAAAAGTAGATATGAAATGACTACAATGGCATTAAAATACCTACAAACAGACTCAAAAATACTAAAAAGGCATAAAAAGCACTGAGTAGAGAGACACATCAGCTGAAAAGAGATTCAAAACAACTAAAGAATACAACAAAAGGCAATAAAATCATGACTAAGAGACACTGGCTGACTAAAAAGAGACTTAAAAAGATTAAAAATATACTTAAAACATAAAAAAAAAAAAAAAGAGAATAAGAAGGACCTAAGATGAAGCTCAAAACAACAACAGTGTGTGAAAGTCTAGAAGGCAACGACCGAAACAACTAGAAAAAGACTTTAAACAACGATAAAGAGATATGAAAGGACTGAGATGGCTTTAATTAACGAAGGTGGCTCTCTTGTTACCTGGCTAGGTCTCCATGGTAACCGATGCTGTGGAGCTAGGTCTCCATGGTAACCGATGCTGTGGAGCTAGGTCTCCATGGTAACTGATGCTGTGGCGCTGACCCGGTCCAGGTTCTGTTCAGAGTTCCAGATGTAAACCAGCTGACAGAGCGTCTCCCTTTAACCAGACAGTTTCCTGACTGTTATTTATGAGCGATCCAGACTCTCAGCTGAGGGAATGTGTTTATCTGCTAACATGCTGAGCTGTGCCTCACTAATATCACTGAATGAAGCCGTGGAGCTACAGCATCACACTGTAAACATCACGTTGCCATGGGAACCAGACGTGTTTAGTTGGTGATGCAGAAATCACATCAATATGTTTTAATGTTTGGTCTGCAGCTGATTATAAAACGGATCATTCTGTTGGTATTGATCACAGACAATATTCAATCAGTAACATTCATTCACTCTGATTGGACCAAACGTTAAAGTGATTTCCTGCATTCTGGGACAGAGTCAGACCTGAATGAGCTTCAGCACCAGATCAGGTTTAAATGTACGAAGGTTAAAGTTTAGCTTTAACGGGCAGCTATCAGCTGGAAACCAGCGGCTGCATCAGTAAATATTCTCTATGAACACATTGAACAGTTTCTACCAGCATTCCTGTCTTCACCGTTTACAGTAGCGGCGCTTTTTACCGTCATCATGTTGATGTTCCTCATTGTTCTCCATTAAAACAAGGTGCTGACGGAAGCAGCTGCACGTGATCGATTCATTTAAGCAGAACAAGACTCACGTGACCCGTTAGCGCCTCCTTTTAGTCTGAAACAGGAAGTCTGAGTCCACAAATAAAGTTGAACCACCTTCATGATACCTGTGATCTCTGACTGGAGCTTTAGTTTACGTCCAGCCGACTCACACAAAGAAAGCCTGGATCTGTCAAACCTGCTGCGTGGTTCAGTCCTCTGGTGTTTGTGTGTGTTTGTGTGTCGTCGTGTTTTCTGACCCTCTGGTGTTCGTGTCTCCTCTCAGATGATCGAGGGCCTCAGCTGCGACGCCAGAAGTTTCTCTTCAACATCAGCTCTCTGGAGCGCGACGGGCTGCTGGGGGCGGAGCTTCGGATCCTGAGGAAGCGCGTGTCGGAGCCTCGCAGGGCCGACGGAGGCTCCGCCCACCTGAAGCTGCTCACCTGCTCAGGTAAACAGAAGCCGACGCTGCTGCAGACGAGGACGCTGGAGGACGTGCAGGGCTTCGGCAGCCGGTGGGAGGTGTTCGACGTCTGGAAGCTGTTCAAGGCCTCCAGGCAGCCGCCGGAGCAGCAGCTGTGCCTGGAGCTGGAGGCCGTGGAGCTCCGCGGCGGTCGCCACGCCGACCTGCGCTCGCTGGGCTTCTCCCGCCTCGGCAGGACCAACAAGGAGAAGGCCTTCTTCCTGGCGTTTGGCCGCAGCAAGAAGCGCGACCTCTTCTACAACGAGATCAAGGCTCGGTCCGGCCACGACAACAAAACCGTCTACGAGTATCTGTTCACGCAGCGCCGGATGCGACGAGCTCCTGCGTCCAGAGGCGCCAAAAAGCTGCCGGCGCCGCCTCCTCCTCCTCCTCCGCCGCCGCAGACGCTCCCCCAGCACCAGGCGGCGAAGACGAGGCCTCGCTGCCACCGACGGCGGCTCCACGTCAACTTCAAGGAGATGGGCTGGGACGACTGGATCATCGCGCCGCTCGAGTACGACGCCTTCCACTGCGACGGCGCCTGCGACTTCCCCATCCGCTCGCACCTGGAGCCCACCAACCACGCCATCATCCAGACGCTCATCAACTCCATGGACCCCGAGTCGACGCCGCCCACCTGCTGCGTGCCGACGCGCCTCAGCCCCATCAGCATCCTGTACATCGACTCGGCCAACAACGTGGTGTACAAGCAGTACGAGGACATGGTGGTGGAGTCGTGCGGCTGCAGGTAGCAGCGAGAGACGCGGCGGTTTGTCGACGTCTGAAAGCGGAACTGCTTTAACTGGACTGGAGCGGACTATGGGGCTGCATACCAGCGCCGGCGGAGACTAAACAGAGGACGGTGGAGCTGTGCAGCATCTCTGGAGCTGACGTGTGGCGTCGACGTTCAGGCAGACAGATAACAGAGACGCTATCTGCTAGAAAAAGATGTAAAAAGTTGAAACATTACGTGAATTATACTCAAAAATGCCCTTTTTTCCAGCACTTATCTGATGGACTCGTGTGTATCCTTTTTATAAAGCATGTGAAGAATGTCTGATGTATAAATACGGGCCGGTGATGAAGTGCTGATCTGACCTGCTCCAAATGTGGGAAAGTTGAATAAACTAGTCTTCAATAAAAAATGCCTAATTGACTGAGCTCCAAACTGCTATCAGTGCGAACCTCAGACTAAACTATCAGAGGAATTTGAGAGATTTTCAGAAGCCACAATTACAGTTTAACCCCAGAATGACTGAGATTCATCTGGATTAAGAAACCGCTGACGGTCAGGCTGAAGATCAGGCAAAGGGTCGTGGGAAGAAAAACTTTAAAATGTTAAAAACACGTTGCAAAGAGACCACAAAGAAGCAAAACGTCCAAAACAAGACAAAAAACAACAATAGGATGCTGAAAATGTCCAAAACAATATGTCAAAGGACCAAAAAGACACTAGAAACATCTAAAGTAAGATGCAAGAAGACCCAAAGAAGACTGAAAACAGCAAAAGCAAGATGCAAAGTGACCAAACAGTTACTCAGAATCTGAAAAGACACTGAAAATGTCCAAAACAAGATGCAAAAGAATGCTCAAAAGACCGAAAACAAGATGCAAAGTGACCAAAGACACCTAAAATTTCCAAAATAGGACACGAAACAACCAAGAGTACACTGAAAATGTCCAAAAGTAGATGTAAAGTGATTAAAAAAAGAGACTAAAAGATCCAAAAAAAGATGTAAATAGACCAAAAGAACACTCAAAACGGCTGAAACAAGATGCTATGTAATTAAATAGAAACCCAAAAGACCCAAAACAAGATGCAAAGTTACCAAAAGGACACTCAAAATATCTGGAAAGACACTGAAAATGGCCAAAAGTAGATGCAAAGTGATCAAAAGGATACTGAAAATGTTCAAAACTTGACTTAAGACAACCAGAAAACACTAAAAATGTCCAAAAGAAGACATAAAACAATCAAAACAACAATGAAAATGGAAAAAACAAGATGCAAAGTGAACAAAATGACAATTGCCTTGCAAAAGAACCAAAGGGGGCGCTCCGAACAGCTAAACTAAGGTGCAAAACAACCAGAAGGACACTGAAATGGTCCAAAAAACTTGCAAGGTGACCAAAAAGACTCTTTGCATTTCTAAAATAATACATAAAACAACCAAAAGGACCATATTTATGGTTGCAAAAAGCACAAAATCACCAAAAACAAGGACATTCTCCACTCAGAGTCTCCAACATAAGATGCAAAATGACCCTCAAAGATGCTGAAACAAGATGACAAACAACCAGAAGGACACTGGAAACACGGTGCAAAGTGACAAACAAACGGATGTAATGACCTAAATCAGTTCTGAAACAACCAAACGGACACTGAAGACGTTGCGTAAACCAGTCTTCAGTGAAAAATGTCAACCTGACGGAGCTCCAGGCTTCTATCAGCGTGCAGCTCAGACTAAACTATCGGAGGAATTTGTGAGATTTTAGGAATCAGTGGTTCTGAGGCTGTGAAGACGTCGTGTTCCTGGTTTTTGTAATCATCGCTCTGAATCTGTGTTCTGCTCTCAGATTGAAATAACATCCTGAAGCACACCAGGAGCCGATTAAACAACCAAAGGCTTCGTCACTCCACTTAAAAACCATGATTAATGAGTCGCTCTAACATTTCTCTGGTCTCTGCTGCCGACATGACCAGAACCTGGAGGGAGTTTTTCTCTGTTTTCTGACAGTTCTGAAGAATATATTAATTGTTAAAGAAAATACCTGAAGATCAATGCTGTTTGCTGACTGACACGACGCTGAGTGTTTATTCCACGAGACGCTTCATAGACGACCAGAATAAACTCAAATAATTTGGGTATTAAAGCCAGATTTTAGGAGCTCCTCTGCCAGACCAGAGCAGAGAGACGGAGAAGCCGTCACACAACAGTTATATTGTTCTTTAGTGGCAACAAAACCCTAAAAATAAACGTGTTTTAAATGAAGTGACGGAAACGAATCAGACACACAAGTCACTGGTTGTCACATCCAGGAGAAGAACACAAGAAGGTCCAAAAACTAGTCCGTCTTCCTCCTGTTGGAGCTCTGCCTCCACAAAGGGATGCAAAATTACCACAAGGAAACACAAAACTGCACACGATGGCTAAAAAAGACGCTCAAAACAAATAAAAGGAGACATGAAACGACCAAAATGCAGCATTAAATGCCCACAATGACCCTCAAAGTAAGTGTAAAGAGACACAAAGTGACTCAAAATGACAAAAACGAGGCCAACAATGACCACAAAAAGAGTCAAAACGAGAGCAGAGAGACACAAAACTACTAATAAGACTCAAAATGTCTACAGAGAGACACGATGACCGAACAATGACTCAGAAAACTAACACAAAATGACCACAGCAATTACACAAAGACACACAACAGCTTGATGGAACCTCAAAATGACTGTAGAGATAAAAATATACAGCAAAATGATTAAAAGGTGACTGTAAAGAACTACAAAGAGACACAAGGCGACCTCAGTGAGACTCAACATACCTAAATACAAACACAAAATGACCCCAAAGAAACACAGAATGACTTCAAAAAGAGAGAAAATGACAGAAAACAGCTAAAACAGAAACAAAATGACTAAAAAGACGTTAAAATGAGGACAGAGACACAGAAATCAACTCCAAAGACGCAAAACGACAAAAAACCAAGACTGAAAGTGACCACAGAAACACACACGAGACTCAAAACAACCAAAAGAAGTCACATAACGACTGGAAACTCAAAGTAACTACACAAAATGATTAAATTACAAAGAGACTCACAAAAACTACAGATACAAAGTGAAATAAAATCACCACAAAGACACACAAAACAGCATCAGAGACACTAAACTGTAACGAAGAGACCCATAATGGCTACAAAAAGAGTTCAAATGACAACAAAGAGATAAAAACAACAAAAAGACACAAAATGACAACAGAGACACTACAAAGAGAAACATAACGACTATAAAGACACAAAACAACTACAAAGAAACACGATACGGTAACAAAGAGACATAAAAAGCTACAAAGAGAGCTTAAATGACAACAGAGAGATACAAAACTACAAGACAACAACTGCAAAGAGACACAAGGTTACAAAAAAAAAATCACCATAAAGAGACACAAAGTCACTGCAAAGAGAAACACAATTACTATGAAGACACAAAACAATTACAAAGAAACACAAAACAGCATCAAAGAGACACATAATTATGAAAAAAGTGTCAAAATGACAACAAGGAGACAAAAAATAACTACAAAGAAACACAAAACGGTCACAAAGAGACACATAATGGCTACAAAAAGAGTTTAAATGACAACGAAGAGATAAAAACAACAACAAAAAGACACAAAATGACAACAGAGACACAACAAAGAGAAACACAACGACTAAAAGGGTCAAAATGACAACAAAGAGTTACACAAAACAACTACAAAGAAACACAAAACGGTAACAGTGACACACAAAATGACCAAAAAAGGTGTCAAAATGGCAACAAGAACACAAAAAAAACAAAAAACAAAACCCACACAACGGGAAAAAAAGAGACAATGTGACAACAAAGAGACACACAATGACTTTACAAGAGCAGAAACGACAACAAAGACGTACAAAATCACCACAAAGAGACACAAAGTGAAAACTGAAAACACAAAACTACAAAGAAAGTCAAAATCCCTTCAACAAACAACGATCAAAGCTGCACCAGAAAGCGTTTAAAGGCTCAGGACCAGCAGACGGAGACGAGCGGAGCCGTCGCGGCCCAGCCTGGACGTCCTCCTCCTGGACCGGAGGCCTTCAGCTCGCTCCTGTCCTCAGGCCTGTTGTTTCATAATCTGACTTCCTGTCCTGAGAAGCTGCACTCGCTCCAGCACACCCTCCGTCCACGGCGTTGCCACGAAACACAACAGCAGCAACACGTGTGCGTTTCACAGCCGCCACAGCACCTGTCTGCTCCCCGTAAAGCCGCTCATTCATTGGATGACGCCATCTGCGCCGAGCGAATGGCTTGTTTCTCTTGGAGACGCGGTGATGTAAGCATTTCCTTTAATCAGAGCTGAGGCATGCCAGCAGCGTGACCTCTGGAAACCTGCAGCCACCAGGTGGGAGCAGGTAAAAAAAAACACTCTGAGGACGCAGGAATTCAACATTACAGAGTGCAGAACACCGGAGGGGGATCAGCAGCAGCGTCTGGCTCAGCGGCAAGATGCAAAACATCTAAATATGCACAGAGCCGGTCCAAAACAAGACGCAGAGTGACCAGAACCTCATTTAAAATGTCCAAAACAAGACGCAAAGTGACCAGAACCTTATTTAAAATGTCCACAACAAGGTACAAGACAACCGAATGGACACAGAAAATCCACAAAAAAACACAAGACAACAAAAAGGACACTCAAAGTTTCTAAAACAAGATGCAAAGAGACAAAAAAAGACATTCAAAATGTCTAAAACGAGATGCAAAAGAATGAAGACCCAAACAAAAGGACCAAAACAAGACGTAAAACAACAAAAAGGACACTTATTGTACAGAATAAAATGACTGAAAAGACATTCAAAACAACTAAAACAAGCTGCAAAATGACCACAAGGACAGTCTACATGATGAACAGTACGCTGACAATGTCCCAAACCAGACACAAGGTGACCTAAAAGACACTTAAAATGTCCAAAACAAGACATAAAACAACCAAAAGCACACTCAAAGTTTCTAAAACAAGATGCAAAGTGACCAAAAAGACACTCAAAACAACTAATACAAGATGCAAAACACCTAAATGTGCACAGAGCCGGTCCAAAACAAGACGCAAAGTGACCAGAACCTCATTTAAAATGTCCAAAACAAGGTACAAGACAACCGACTGGACACAGAAAATGACCACAACAAGACATAAGACAACAAAAAGGACACTCAAAGTTTCTAAAACAAGATGCAAAATGTCCACAAGGACAGTCTAAATGATGCTGACAATGTCCAAAACCAGACACAAAGTGACCAAAAAGACACTTAAAATGTCCCAAACAAGACATAAAACAACCAAAAGGACATTTACTAGACTCCCAAAATGCCCCAAAAGACACTCTTCATGCCTCAAAGGACACTAAAAATG